AGGTCTGGGGATCTACTGCAAGAGTAGAGGAGAAGTTTGTGAAACACATGTGGACACCAGATTTCAAAGAATTGTTAGGTTTTTAAATACTTGCCCTTCCTTCTTTAAATAACTGTCCATATAGTCCTTAGACAGATAGCTTGCAAGGATTTCACATCATATCAGTGGATACTCAAAAACTGTTGAACAAGAACTGCACAACAGCTCTTCCAAATCATGCACTAGGGCTATGCCTAGGGCTAGAAATGCCTGAAATTTAGCAGAATAGGTCTCAAACTGGGGAGGTCAGTCAACTGCAGTTGACTTCTAGCTTTTTACTCTTACTGGGAAACAATAATGGCCCACTCGGGCAGTTGAAAAGATTCATCAATAAGCTTGCTGTCCCTTTTTTTTTTTTTTTAAAAGTTTCTAGATAGTTTTGTAGTTTTGCAACAGCTTCTGCACCTACAGTCAGCTTGGTTATATAATAGTAACAGTTTTCATTTTAAGAGGAATTGCCACCCACATGACAACAGGGGGAAGCTTGAAAGGATGACATCCCTCAAGGTAGCTGTCCCACTCTATGCCAAACAGAAATTTCATGTTGCTGTTTTTGTTTTATAACCCAGTTTCTTTGGTCTAACTTAATTTTTTTTAGGTCTGATCTGAATCAGTGATGCTGTAACTGCTACATACTTAAGACTGGAGCTGGAAACAGAATAAATGACAGAAAAGTTACTCACTATGTTATCATGTTTCACCTGGTCAATTCAGTTTTCTAGATCTAATGCTAGAGCCCTAAAATGCAGCAAAGCAAGCGTCTACAACCTTGTTAATCCTATCAGATATTTAAGCAGTTAAGCTTAACAGTCATAGCACTGCATGCATTCAAAATGGACATAAAAGGTCATATGCCCTTCTAATCTTATAAAAAGTCCAAAACATATTTTCAAAGATTTCTTATTCTATATTCTTAATTTTATCTCTAGAAATTTAAAAAATCTTAGTGCCAAAGTCATGGCAACTTTGGTTTACCTCCCACTTTGTCTCTCCATCGTGTTCCACTAGCTTCAGACCATGCTTGTTCTTAAGATGTCTGTTGAACTCCCATTTTGTACCATACACAAAGCTGCAAACAGGACACTTAATGCCACCTAAAAGGAAACACAAATAAGCTCCCTGAATTATTTTTTATATATTTTTCAAGGCAATAAGGATCTATTTAATTTGACCACATTTCTGTCAAACCACACACATATATATATATATATATTTCTACAGGTAAAATAGTAAAATAGTCATAGTACCTTGGTAGGGCATTTCCAAATGATTATCCTGGATGGTCCTTTCTCTAGCCTACGCAGCAGTATGAAAGGGATAAAATCACAGTAACACTTGGCAAGGATGGGAAGAGTGTGAGAATGCCCTGAAACAATAAGGACACTTCAGTGGTTCCTGTTAGATTTTCATCTGATTGGCTGCTATATACGTGGGCATTGGCTACCTGGACAGTAATATCTTTTGCATCACAGCTAATGTGCATCACAGTCTTTTCTCTCAATCATCTGCATCAAAATGTTGCTCATACTTGGCTCATTAACTGCTCTAGCCAGTAATCATGCAGAAAAAGCAAGGACAGTATAGGAATTCAGCCATACTGAAGAAAATTCTAATCCAACTAAATTTGGCAGCACAAATCTCTTACATAACTCATGATCTAGAGGACAATCTGATCATCTGCAAATATTAATGTACTGGGAAGAAGACATTAAACAAAAATGGCAATATTCCACTACAGATTTTTTTTTGCTTTTCGTTACGTAATGTCTCTGGAAAGGCAGCAAGCACTAATAAGAAATTCTTAATATCAACATAAAATGCTCTTACACAACGATTCAACCATAATACAGCAATATATAAGCTTAAATGTTAATTCTAAGTACTCGCTTACCAAGATCTCCTTGAACTCTGGCGCAGCTCAGAGGTGCAGGAGAGGGCTTGTGATCTAAATCTAAAACAATGGGTCTCCAAGACAACGCTCTCAGAGGAAATGAGGCTTTTATGAAAGTTGCCTGTTACATCCATAAATTTTACACTGAATCTCTCGTGAGCGTGAAAAGGTTTGAGATCTTCAGATGGAACATCCCAAGCCCATTCAGCGCAAAAATAAACCCTAATACTCATATCCACTATAACAAAAAAAAAAAAAAAAAGTCAAAACCAAAAACAAACTCTCTCCTTTTTTTTTTTCACCTGAGATAGTCTAACATGCAAAAGCAGCTGTACAGTAACAGAATATAGATAAAAGCTCTATTTATAAAATAATTATGAACATACCATTTAAATCTACATTGCTCTTAAATAAGTTGCAGAATGAGATAAAACTCCATTCAAAGTCAGGATTTACAGAGTGCAATAAACATTCAATTCATTCAATGGACTCAAGAATTACACAGTCATGCTTTGGAAATGAAGATATTGGCAAATGTTAGGAAGACAAGAAAGGATGTTTTATTCACAAAATGGCAAATCCAGTCTTACTGAACAGATCCACAAAGTGTGAAGAGTTCTCTAATATCACAGAATCTGCCATCCTGAAGTCACTGTTAGCAAATTCGACCAAAAACCTTAATTCATACAGGTGAAGGCTAAACTGGAAACATGCTGAACAGCTTCTAATCCCATCAAGGGAGGAGAAAAAATAAAATGTATTAAAAAAACCCAAGAATCAGCCCTCCAGAAAAACCTAGAAGTCCTACCAATACATTAGAGTAGATTATAAATTTTAAAAGAACACCTTATTTGAAATTTTTAGATTTCCATTTATAAGCTTACTTTTTGCTATCATTTTTTAAATGCTTCTTATTAGCATAAAACTGATTTGCTTAGCTGTCTAGCTATACACCCAGGTTAATTCTATCAAGTGATCAGAATGACTTGGTTTGCAACTGTCACTTCTAACAGTCTTCAGACATTTAATCTTATTCTACTTGCACAGTAATGGATATCAGTTACAAAGAAAATACCCTCAAATGGCAAAGGACAGGAAAAAAAGAAGTCAGGGAACGAGTACTTTCGAGTAAGGTTCTCTGATGAAACTCCTTTACACAAAACCAGCACACAGTAACCAAATCCAAACAACCCTGTCTTAGCTCAATACAAGCTGTTTTTTCCAGTAAAACAGAAGGGAGGATTTCCTCCAGAACATGCACTCCACACTAACCATAGTCTCATTTGTGCCTCAATGACTGTTGCCACGGCCCGTGTACTATGGATCACTGTGCTCTGTAGCAACAATTCCCTATAATAACAACTCTTTGTTTTTCACAACCATCTGATGACATGTGTTTTTTCAGGTGGTTGAACATTTTTAAAAATTGAACAGGCCTTATGGATTACAGCTCTCTATCTTTTCAAGGCGGCAATCAGGCATACGGACCTACACCAATGTATTCACATTTTGTTGCTGCGCCCAAGACAAGCAACACATTACCAAACAATTTTGGCTCCATTTTTTGCATCAGTTGCATGTAAAGCGCTCCTTTTCATGTCTACAGCTGCACTAACATAAAGGTGCATAACATCAAGAAACAGCTTCAAAAGGGACTTTTCTTGTACCAGCTACACCTTACTGAGCTCCATTTTGGGATTAAAAAAAAAGGGTGAGAGGGTACTGCAGAAGAGACTATAGCTGACAAATACTTGCTGCAAAACTTGAAGCCAGCATGAGACATTGTCTTCTGCTCTGTACAAAGGATGCTCCAAAATTTGAGACCATGGACTAGTATTAGAATTCCTTAAGCTGTTTGGAAACAAGTGGCCACCACTACATGGAAATTAAGTCTGTGGGCTGCAGTCACCACCAGCTAATCCACATACCTTGGGCATGTCAGCTGAGGCTGTTAAAAGGGCAGAGCTGTTTGAGGTAGTGGTCTCTACTTTTAAGGCTTTTTACTTCTGAGGAGGCAGCTGCTGGTTCCACATTCCCAGCTTTTCTCCCATTCCTGGATATAATCAGTTAGAGCGCCTGTCTTTCTACCTCTGTACATGTTCCACCTCAGATTTCGTAACTAGAAAAGGTTGTTTTCTATTGTACTTCAGGGCCACAGCAACCAGCTTACCAATGGTAACAGGTCAGACTTTCCAATGCTAGACTTACTTTACTATCCTTACTGACAGAAAAAAATGGCAACTGCTCACACAGGTGAAGCTATTAAGATCAAGGGCAGCAGCATTCCCCTTTTCTTTTGAGGGAGGCCCAGCTTGTTCCATCCTGACAAAGCTTTTTAGTAGACATAAACTGTTCAAAAGAATTACTATTTTAGCAATTGCAGAATGTCAGCAGAATTTGCATCAAATGCTTGAGAATGAATAGTTAAGGATGACAGGAAATGTCAAGCAACCCCTCTTTCAAGGGCTACTTACAGCACAGGGTGGCAGAAGCTAGGAGCAGAGAGAATAACTATATCCCCAGTACTCTCTATTTTCTGGCACTACTATATAGAAAGACTGTGTGGTCTCCATTATTTACGCAGTTGTCTCAATAATAGATATGAGAGCAAAAGGAAAACCTAAACCAGAGTACCTATTAATAGGGAAATTCCCATTGACAGTTCTTTTTGTTACGGTTGAAAGAAAGTTGCAAAAGCACAGGAGATTGCTGAGAGGCATAAACACTTAAGTAGATCTAAGTTAAAACCCCACACTGCAGTAGAGTAACATTCTTTTCCTTTAAACCGCTACAAAGAATTCCTATGCACAGCAAACATTTACTACTGTTCATAACAGAATTGGCTTTCTTATGTAGATATGAACCAAGGGACAAAAGAAATGCAGAGCCACACTCAGCACCACGTGTTAAAAGATGCCTATTTAAAGTCTTATCTCAAACTATTGCTGAAGAGAAGGGAGGTTGTTCCGATTTTAATTAAGCAATTATATCACAGAATTCAAGAACCAGTTTCAAACTGCGTATTTAAAAGGCTGACTAACTCAGAAAATGAAGAGACTGAGACCTAGCATTAGAAACTGCTGCTCATTTTATTGCCTTGCGCCACTAGATGCCGTATGTAAAACCTTCTTAGAGGTTGACAATAGCTAATCAGTCTCACTGCAAAAGGAAGAACCGGTAGAGTAATACACTAGATTTTCATAGTTAAACAATTTGCGATTCAGTCAACCCTACTGTATACAGAAACACATCTCAGAAGGACGAGTATATTAAAACTAGAAGAGCAGTACTTCAAAGTGCAGGACATAACTTGGGATGAGACTAATTTGGGATGAAAATAATTATAAATGCATATAAGCACAGAACTAGTTAAGATACTACTTTAGGAAGGCGATATAAACTTATAGATCAATAAAACAGTACTATCAGACAAGCAGAAGACTCATAATACAGCAACAAAAAAGTAAAAGTATTAGCTCAGGGATCTGCATTATGATGGTAGTATAGTTTCAGCCTATCCACTAAGATCTCTTCTCTCTCATTTTGAGCTTCATCAGTTGCTACAAACCATCACCTTTAAATAACAGTTAACATTAGCGCTAAAACAAAATTCAAATATCATACATGTTTCTTGGCAAACAATCAGGCTTTCTTTACCTCTCATCCCATTCCAAGAAAGATGAATTATCTTCTAGAAAGTAAAATTCACAAATGACTCTGGAGAAAAGCTGCTGCACAAAGATGCAGAAGTTAAAGTTCGTGAAAAGCCTGATCAACATAATTAGACAGAGGTTTGCTTGTAGTTCTTCGTATCCAAGACTTTCTTGCCACACATTGAGCAGATGCCTATAAGCATACAAAAGGTATTTAAAAGTCATTAGGGTTTTCTTCAAAAGCAGTTATGCTTTTGTAAAACTCTTTTTCAAAAAATAATTATCAATGAGACCTCATTTAAAAAAAAAAAAAACTGTGTATTTTCTCACCAGATATTGCAAATTCAGAAGTAGCAATAGGTCTTCTAATACAAATCAGTATTTGCATCAAATGTCTAAGTATTTCTACTTAAAAAAATAAAGCTCCATTCTAAGAGCACATAAAAGTGCCTGAAGCCTCCATATTTTACTGCAATACTCAAAGAAAGCCAAAAAAGGCTCCTATCTGGCAAAGACATACAAATGTCACGTTATTAAACTTTGCAAGTCTTGCAGTCAAACTGAGGCCCAAGAGGAACAGAAAGCAATGAGGCTAAGAAAATTTACTCATCCACATAAGCTGACTGCTAAATGAAAGACTAACAGGTGGGAAACTTTGGACAATTGAGAAAGTCAGGAATATAGTTTCATGGAATTAAGCTATTTATAGAGAAGCGGAAGAGAGGGGGAAAAAAAAAAAAAAAAATCAAACACCAAGAATACATGAGAACTGAAGCAGAGATGACCAGTGATGTCCTAGGGGACTATGACCTACGCCCAAAGAGTGGCAAGTAGAACAACTAGAGCAGGGAAAAGTACATCCATGGGTTCTTTTGTTTGTTTTTTTGTTGTGTTGATTTTTGTTATTGTTGTTTTTGTTGTTGTATGGGGTTTTAGGGTTTTTTTTTTTTTGGTGATCTGAATATTTCCTGCTTTCTATCTAAAACAGAAAGGTACCAAATCTTTTGCCTGGTAGGGGCACATAACCTTTTACAAGACCATGCATCAGCAGGTGAAAAAACACTCTTGTTGCCTCACCCCGAGTCATGTGCTTTCATATATTGACATCATGATACTGGACACTCATCTAAGAGTCTATTAGGACAGACAACAGCAGGGAAAATACCACATGATTTACTCTAGAGTGCAAAATCCAGCCCACAGGCTGTTCACCCCAGGTCTAAGTAGAGGCGTAGTTAACTTTGGAACATTGAATAGTCTCTAGCTTTCAGAGACGCGCAGCAACTGAAGCACTAATCCATACGACCACACCTGTTTCAAGAAACATGCCATATCCATTCTCTTTGATGGTCAGAGCTAGAACTTAAAGCAGCTGAAGCTCTGTCTTTTATGAAGAAATCCATTTCTACCTGGAAAGGTACACGAGCAGACAAAAAAGTCCTCAAGCTCACCCAAATCAACTATAAATTTAAGAAAGCATAAGGTTCCCTCATGTGGGATTCTGGCAGCCACCTGGTGAGCACCCAGAAAACAGAAAAAATAGCAGCTCTACGGCAGGCTGCTAAACCACTGACGCGCCGCCCAGCTGTGAAAGAATTAATGTCATTTCATAAACAACATTTAAACTCATACCGACTAGATGTGCCTCTACAGCTAACAATTGGTTTAGCCCATGTCTGTGCTGTGTGGATTTTCCAAAATTAGTAATATAACTGAGTTCATATGCTGCTGCTTTTTCCTCAGGCAATTACAAGCTTAGGCCTCCATTTTGCTTACCTACTCAAATTCACAAGACTGGTAAAAGTTGTATATCCTTAAGGCTCAACTTTTACCTCACAGTTGCTTGAAATTGTTCAACAGTTCATTGAGAAAACAAAAAACAATTTTCAACAACCCTAAAGGCTTGTTGTGAATACAGGAGACTGAAAACCTCAAGACAGAAGCAGAATTTCAGTGCAGCTGTTCATACATGATTTAGAAGTACAGAAAGATTTTGTATGTTATATACTACACTGGGCAATATCTTCCTTTCTAAACATAAAGGTTTTATTCTTACTTTTTGATTTTCAGTTGCAACTTAAGCCAAGCTTCTCTCACAATGCAAGAAGCCCGTTTGCCTTGAAAGGCACTTTATTAGCTCTTTTTACAACAGCATCTGTTTGTCTCTTTGCCTTTTATTTCCCAGGTTTTCTACTTTTGTAGAAAACAACCTGAGTCCATGTTGCAATATCTGACCACCCTCACAGTGAAAGTTTTTTCCTTATGTTTCATTAAAATCTCCTCCATTCTCACTTCTGTCCACTGTCTCTTATTCTATCACTGTGCACCTCAGAGAAAAGCTACCTTCAACTTCTCTACACCCTCCCATTAGTAGCTGGAGATAGCAATTAGATCTCACCTTAGCCTTCTCATTGTAAGGCCAAACAAACCCCGAGTTGCGTTTGCTCACTACTTTCAAACCAAACTGGGCTAACTCAGTATCCAGTGAATCTCACCTTTTTTATAGGCACATCCTTGACAGTAGTGAGACCCTGGCTGATGGACAGAACTCTTACAAATCCGACATATTGCAAATTTGTTCTTTCCATAAGGATCAAACCTGAGGAAAGAGAGAAAGGAAATATACTGTATTTATACACCACGAAGTAAAGTAGTTCCGCTACCTCATCCTAAAAAGTCTAAGCCAGAGACCACAAACAGAAACTATGATTTAGAAAGGGACATACAAAGATTGTTTCAAACAGGTTGCACTCAAAGTCTACAGAAAGACCCCTCGCTACCTTACAAAGAGAGGTTTCCTGCATTATGAAAACACAACGTGCCTTTTCATTAAGATGCTAGACTATTTTGAACTAAATGTCTTCCAGCAATGGCTTGCCCTCTCTACAGAGAATAAAATAAACCTTGCAGAAGGTAATAAAATGGCCTGCAAATATTAAATACGCTGAAGAGACCGTACAGGTGGTCTTAGCAAGAGAGTACGTCTTTCCAGCTTCTCTTCTAATACGAATATCAAACTTAACACTCAGTTTTAGTGAGCACTGAAATATATTTTTGATTCAGCAGAAAGCACCCATGAAATATGTACAAACACACTGTTACCAACTAATAGCATGCCGCAACCCCCATTAAGAATTTTAAAAACAAAGTCCATTTTGGACATGGTTTGAGAAGCTGCCCAGTTGTGCAGGAAACAGGTCCTGGTTACAGGAAAATGACCTTTTTAGACAATCAAAATCAGGATTAAATACTAACCTTGCCTTCTTTGAAGTCAAAGCCTTGTTTTCATTCAGTTTTCGGCCCCCACTTTCTACAGAAAGAAAAATAAAGATGGTAGATTTCCCAGTTTCGATCAGGTTTGGGAAAAAGCTTAGTTTAGAAGTTTTACACTTCTGTAAATGAAATCAGAAAGAAAAGCACAGCGTATAACACAGGACTAAAGCACAGGACGACAGAACCCCTTACATTATCTTCTGCTTGGGTATCGTCACTCCACATGGGTCGGGGGAGAACCCAGACAGATCCAGCCCTGAAAAGTTCAGGGCAAGTAAACGCCCAGAGGATGGAATTAGCACGCTAAGGAAACTACAACAGTTAAAAACAAACCCAACAGAACAGCTATTACAATCCTCAGCCTTAGAATTGAACGACGATACAGGTGCCCAAGGGGCTTTAAGACATCTGAACGAGAAGCGTTAAAGCCCCCCGGAAAGCAGAAGTACCTGTGGTGTTCCTTGCGCCATCCTTCCACGTATCAGGAGTAATTACCGTGCCCAGTTTTTTCTCGCCTACGTGAGGAAACACGCGCGCGGAGGGAAAAAGCTCAAGTTGGTTTGCGTTAACGCCGGCAACCAGCCCCGCCTGCCGGCGG